GTCCAGGGGAGACACAGGCATCCAGGGAGACACAATTGTCTGGGGAGTTACAGGTGTCTGGGGAGACACAGGTATCTGGGGAGTTACAGGCATCCAGGGAGAGACAGGCATCTGGGGGGGACACAGGCATCCAGGGAGACACAGGTGTCCAGGGGGTTAACGGGTGTCTAGAGAGAGAGGTATCCAGGGAGACACAATTGTCTGGGGAGTTACAGGTGTCCAGGGAGATACAGGCATCCAGGGGGGACACAGGTGTCCAGGGAGACACAGGAATCTGGGGAGTTACAGGCATCCAGGAGGGACACAGGCATCTGAGGGAGACAAAGGCATCCGAGTGACGCGGGTGCCCGCAGAGCCCTACAGCCCGGCTGTCTGGGTGATGATGTTCGTCATGTGCCTCACGGTTGTGGCCGTCACCGTCTTCATCTTTGAGTACTTCAGCCCCGTGGGCTACAACCGGAGCCTGGCCGCCGGCAAGCGTGAGTGCCACCTGCCCGCCCTCAGGTGTCCCTGGGGATGGGACAGGGTGGGGGGACAAAGGGGGGACGCAGGGCGACTGGGGGAGGTGCCACAACCCTGTCCCCAGGCATGGGCAGCTCCATATTCACAGTTGGTGTCCCCAGGGGCCCTGGGGGTGACACTGAGACCCACGGGGACATGGTGGCTGTGTCCCCAGGCGCAGGTGGCTCCAAGTTCACCATCGGCAAGTCCATCTGGCTGCTCTGGGTGTGGGTGTCACCTGGGGGTGACGCAGGGGTGATGCGGGGACCCACGGGGTGACACGGCCGCCTGTCCCCAGGCGCGGGCGGCTCCAAGTTCACCATCGGCAAGTCCATCTGGCTGCTCTGGGCCCTGGTGTTCAACAACTCGGTGCCGGTGGAGAACCCCAAGGGCACCACCAGCAAGATCATGGTGCTGGTCTGGGCCTTCTTCGCCGTCATCTTCCTCGCCAGCTACACCGCCAACCTGGCCGCCTTCATGATCCAGGAGGAGTACGTGGACACCGTGTCGGGGCTCAGCGACCGCAAGGTACCCCGCCCCACACACACCTCACACGGACCCGCACACGTCACACGGACCCCCTGTGCGTCACACGGTCCCAAACGGCGTCACCCTTATGGCACACAGACCGACACGTGTCACACAGTCTCACATGCCTCATGGGGCCTCACACATGTCACGCGTTGTGGGGGGCTGGTGGGTGCCGTGGGGCGCTGCGAGAGGCGGTGGGTGCTGTGGGGCGGGG